CACCACCCAAAAAAGTAGTCTCTTATGTCTTGCAGGTTCCTCGTCCTTGTGTCCTTGGTATTTAGCCGTTGTAGTGGAGGTCACCAGCACTCTTTACGGGAGGACAACAGTGTTGATGTTTTAATAATAAAGTTATTTAGTGATCTTACTTTGCTTAAATGCAACTTGTTCAAGAGGTGGAATATCAATGATGAAAGTAAAGCTGACTTTATTGTGGAAAAATGCCTCAATCAATAGTATAAAATATGGAGAACAGTGGTACATCCTCCCTTAGATTCTACTTTATTGGCAGTGTATATATACACTACCATGTAAACGTATTTCAATACTTCATTAATTGGATCCATGATAGTCTCCATACCCCATAAAATTATACCAGCATTGAGTAATGGAAATGGAGGACCACTAGGTTTAACTGGTAATATTTTCATTTGACCATTGTTTATGTATATTACTTAAGTCTGCTATGAACTATCTATATTTGTGGTGCGCTCTCATCTCTCACCATTAAAATCTTCATTTATTAATATGTTAACACTTCACAGCTATATATTTCAGATTGCCTGAAGAATCATTGAAAATAATGATAACTCAGTATATGGGATATTTGGATTGTATAGATATCGTGAAGGCTTCTATCAGGAAAGAAACTCTGTTCAGAGTGGTATCTGACATCTTATTCAAATTCACAAAGCTAATTTAATCGGTAAAGTAATAGAATATTGATAGAGTTTATAATAACAGTAATAATGGTGATCATAATAGTTATTAAGCTACCTATATTTATGTTTCATTCATATTTTAATGAAAACATCCATACCCATTTCATATGCATCTGACAAATATGGATAATGTCAATAATTTATTAATGTTTGATGGGTAACCCTCGTGCTCAGAAGAGAGAGAACCAAAAGGTTTGGTAACTACACTGAAAACTACCATGAAGTTACTTTCACTCTTATCTCTGAAAGTACTTGCCTAATTTAGTTTCTCACTTAATTTTATTTATCCAACATGAAAGGATGAAATTTTTTCCCTGAATTTCTTGAAAGATTACAGTCTACGAACCTAGACTATATAATATTGAGAATGATAGTGTATATAAATGATAAAAGCAAAAATAATTATTTAATTGAGAGATTACATATTGTAAGAATCTAAAACTATATAATATTGAGAATAGTATGTTATATAAATGATAAAAGCAAAATAATTTAAATTATTCCTTGAGGTAAAAATGGAGTGACATATTAAAATTTCAATGTAAAATTTTATTCTTTTCTTGATAGCCACAATAACATTGCATGAAAAAAGCATTGGGAAAAATAAGAGCCTATATCAGGATTTTCCCAGCTAAGAAAAGCAATCATAAGACAAAAGCATCCAAGAGGCTTCAACATGGAAAGGGGATAGTCCTGTAATGTCGGCATCCAATGTAGATTTTCATTGCCTCACCTGCAGCTATGCGAGCAGGTCTGATGAGGACAGGGAAGTTCCCGCCTTTTTCTTTGAAGGGATGTTATATTTTAAACATTGTTTTTTACTGTGCTTCTTTTTTTCTTGTTTAGACACACATACACACACACACAAAGAACAAAATTAATGGGGTTTGAAGTGGTATAGGAGCACAGTATCTTGGCCCAAATAAGAAATTCTAAGTTGATAATCTGATCAATTTTCTTATCTTCAGGTGACAAGACAAAAAACCAAAACCCAAAGCCTCTTTGAGCCTCTTAGATTCTTTAAGACTATTTTGGAATTGGTATCATTTGGAGGTTACTTTTTACTCATGAGTATGGAAAAAAGCTAATTAAATTCACTCTTATCAAGTAAAATCAGGCAAGAAAGCATAGTTTTAATACTAAATTCCTGTTTTTGCAATTATAGTACTTTAAATAATTATGATTTGAGACATAATTATTTTCAACATTCAAACCTCCTTAGAGGCTTGTAATGCTTAGAGCTTGCTTTGAAGTTAAGAAAGCTCTGGATACAGTTAAGATGCCTGAAAAACACTGTGAACATGGTAAATCAGAATGACATTGGTAGTAGAGGGGGAAGTAGTCGTAGAGAATATTCCTTCTGTGTTGAAGGGTGCCCAGACAGTCATGTCAGGACAGCTAATGTGCAATTGGTTTTTTATTTATGCTGTTTGATTACATGTGGGAATATGAGAAATTCCCAGTGACTCTGCTATGTTTTTTGCCTATTGTTCTTATATTTGAGAACTTTTATTTCACTTTAAAATATGCATGAAGTGACTACCTAAGGGCAAACTATCTCACCCCATGTGTCTTCTATTGAAATAGCTGCAATCTACAACATCTATAGATAAAGAGGTCAATTTGTTTTATATTCTGTTATATTACTTAGGAAATACCCTTGAGTTTTAGTTTCAGAACTTGAGGTTTCAAATATTTGCTGTTCACCTAAGAGTGCACCCTGGAATTCACCATCACCTGTTTCTGGAGTCACGACTGCCTGCTAAGTGCCCTGCTCGCCACCTGCCCGCTCCCTGTGCTCGTCTCCGCCCTGGAGCGTCCGGCCGGCCTCCCGCAGGCCACTCAGCTGTGCAGCGGCTCAGACTGTGGCCTCGTTCGCGTGGAGACGCACACACCCTACAGAGCAATGCTAATGATATTAATAGAGTAGCACCTATATTAGGCTCTCTTCTTCATAAAGCAGAAAAATTAAAAATTCAAAAGAGTAAAGTTTGGAGAAAAAAGCAAAATATGAACAGTGGGCACTTGTCTGAAATGTTTTGTAGCTGGAATAAATATTTGCAATTATGTTCTCTCTTGTCAGGCATCTTGTGTAATTGAGATGAGTATTCTATATGGATGCTTTGTTTGAATTAGCTATTGTAATTATTTATTTACTTCATTTCATTTCATGAAAACTTCAAAGTGGCTTACAAGAAATTAGTACAAGAAATGTGAAACATGTAGGTACATGCTAACTGTTCTCAGCTAAAATTCTAGACCTTTCTGTGTCTTTGTTTAATGTTATCATATTGGTAACTACTTAAAACGCCTAATTGGTAACTATTAAATAGTGACTGGACAAGTTCATGTACAGTGATCAAATCATTTCTCTAAATGTTATAAATTCTTATAGCTAATGGAAAAATCCAAGTAGCTGTTTCGTCGTCGTCCTACTGAAAGTGGGTCAAAAATTCTGTCTGGATGTTGAGACTCGTGCTCCACTCGATAGCACGAGGCATGAAGAGAGGTACTACTCAGCCAAAGAGGATTTCTGGGGAAGGCAGCGCAGGTCTCGAGCTAGTCTGAGAGAACGGGTGGGCAGATGGCTTTGGTTTTTATTGAGGACAGAGGGTTCTCAGGTGAGGTGGGGACTTACATAGTTTGAACTTTCCACTGGTGCTAAAAGCAGCAGCCATCAGGCCTTCTATGGGCTGCTTAGATGCGGGGCACGAGGGGAAGTGGAGGAGATGGGGTCTAAAAGCTGTCAGTGGTCAATCACCAAAAATGGAGCCAGGTCTTTATTACAGCAGCAGTAAAAATTACTCTTTATTTTTTTGGATAAAGGGCTGATAACTAGAATACAATTACCTTTTTAAAACCAGTCCCTTGATATAGTCTCTTATCCCCATCTGAACTGTCACCTTTCATTCTCTGTCACTTTAAGCTACTTGCGTATTTCTTTTCATGGAGCTGGTCACGATTGATGTGTGTGCGTCTCTGTTCACTGTTTGGCTCTTCTAGCCAAAATTGGAACTTCCCCAAAGTGAAGGCTATGTCCGGCTGTTTTGTTTATAGTTGTATCCACAGCACCTAGAAAGTGCGAGAAACATAATAGGCAGATGGTAATTTTAAAAAAATAAATGTCTGTCGGATTTACTAGACTAGAAGCTCCACGAAGGCAAGACTGTGCCTGTTTCTGTCATGGTCCATTCCAATGACTCAGAGAAATGATTCACACCTTAGTAAGGTATTGGTGGAAGGAATTCATCCTTTTAGTTACTCTGATACAAGGTTCTGCTGTAAGACATTAAATCTATCTGTTATGAAATCTTGGCTCATTTAAGTTCCAAAATACAGCCAGAACATGTTAATTGAGTCCTGCTGATTTGTTAAAAAGTTTGGGCAGAGCAGCAACTTTACCAAATGAGTAAGAGTTGAGAACTCACTACGGATGGCAAAATGATGTAAAAATGTTAGACAATTTCGGCATTACTTAGACATGACTATTCTCTTGTTCACAGAGAGCAACAAGAAATATCTTAATTTCTGGAAAAATAAGTGAATTTTCAATTTAAAATCAATTCTATATTCAGGATAGCACAATTGAAAATCTAATGAATCACAAGAAAATCTAATGAATGACCTTTTTTCAGAAAAAATATGTTATATGTGTTTATTAATAAATCAAAATGTACCATGAGCATAAGTGAATAAATACATAGATACACAGATAAATAAATAAAATAGGTAAATCAGATGTTGTTTTCCATTCTAACTTATATGAGAACATAAAAGTTGTTGCTTTAGAACTAAACAATACTTTTTTGATTTATTAAATGTTCTGAGACAGGCTGATTATTTTTAGTTCTTCTTAAACATTTAGTTCACTCTAATTTAGTAACTGTTATTACAAACGCATTTGATATTCTGCAGCTGTGCGATTACATGGCTGCCAAGCTCCGTGGTTGATTGCAGTGTTGTCACAGCCTGGAAAAGGTGGCTGAGCCTGAACTCCTTCCCAGTGTCCAACCTTTGTTAGGTTAGCTTTTATCTGCCTGCCTTTTACTAACTAAGGAAGGTGGAGCAAGGTGGAGAGCTAGAGGCTTTAGTCTGTTGCCCAGCAACCAGGTCTTTCCTCTTGGGAAGCAGGTCAGCAAGAAGGAAATGCGATGAGGAGGTGATTAAATGTTTGTCTGCCATCTCTGATAAAGCAGAAATTCTCTGAATAAAAATTGTTCTGGACAGATATCTCCAACCCATGGGGAAGCAAATTAATCTCATTAGGCAAGGGGTTATATCTGTTTGTTATAAATATTACTTCCCCATCATCTGGGGGAAGTTTTAGTGATTGTACATAGCATGCTAAGACCAGTAACAGTACATTCGGTAAAGTCCAAAATTTTAGTATGGTATAACAAATCATCTTAAGGTCAAAAATATTCATTTTGAATGACAAGACAGGATGTTTCATTTTCTATAGTAGACTTACTATTTATTTATTCAGAGACACTTTAAAATGTCATAACAATATCTAGGGTTTTTTAATGACATAAAAATTTATTGAAGCATCTTTCTTCTGTGACTTAGGAATACTGATTGATAGTGTTTCTCAGGAAATATTCTAAATGAAAAACTGCATTGTAAAATCTTGAACACCTCTAATTCTAAAATTTTAAGAGAGAAAAATTCTTTTTTAAACCAAAATTTTCTCTCAAGTTGTTGGGGCTCAGAAATTGATGCCCCAAAGGATGGTGCCTTGGCTGAGAACTTCGGGGTGAAGGACATTGAAGAGACCTCAGAAACAAAGTATCTTTCTGAACTTCTCCTGCCCTTCTTCTTCTGCTTCCCATTTCTCCCCCAAGGCAGGCCATAGAAACTAGAATTATATTCCAAATTTTCCCTGCCTTCTGTGTAGGGGATGCCCATAAAGAAATTTTCTTACCTACTTTATCTGATAGTAGATGGAAAGCCCTCCATTCCAGAAGGGTTTTGCCCAATACCTGAGGGGAGAGGCCCGTAAAAATCTGAACACACAGGCCTTGCTGGGTTTCTTGCCTCAGCCTATTGCCATAAGATCATATCCTTTTTGTCCAATCTGATCTCTACCTGCTGCCCATTCATCATTGAACCTATGCATTAAAAAGTTTTCCCTTGATCTCTGGGTCCTCATTTCTGAAGGCTCTCATATCACAGAAAAACTTTAATGAAATAAATTTGTTATGCTTGTCTTTTGTTAACCTGTTTTTTGTTACAGGATTGTCAGCTGTGATCCTTATGATGGATATGGAGAGGTATCACAATTTTCCACCCCTACAATATGTTAATTAATGCAAACATATAATGCATAATTAATGCAAAAAAATAATGCAAACTATACCATAGTTATATGGTAACTATATATCATTTCGTGGATTTTCAACTCTAAAAGAATTAAAAATTAGAAGAGCAAACATGGGAAAATAGAGACTGTGGAGAAAAGAAATCACAATTCTTTACAGTTTCACTCTTGACACTCTCTTAAATCAAATTTTCTTTATATATACAAAATCTGTCCAGAAAGTATCTAGCCATGTAATAGGAAAAATAGAGACATTTACTGAAGAAGTTACAAGATACAAAAACATTGTACTTAAAACATACCACAGTGAAGCCTCAGTCCCCTTCTCAGTAGGCACCTTGGACCTTATGCAGCTCTCCCAGCGTCTCTTACCCTAACCTGCACATGGTCAACATTCTCAGGTGTTCTGCTTGTTGCAGGCCTTCCAGAATGTGGATCACTTTCAACAAATTATCAACCATCTTTGAAGTGTCTGTGCCACACTTTTATTTGCTTTACACTCATTGCATTATCCCTGAAATCCTTGTGCGTCATCCAAATAGTTTGGATGATTCAAGCTTAATACAAGGAATGTTCAAGCTTAACACAAAATGTGATGCAGATTCATCGCTCTACTTGCTCAGTCACTTTGAACGCGATGGCCACACGGTGCACGTGCCCACTCAATGGCGTCTAGCGCCCCACTGGCTAGTACAGTGAAGTCGTCATTGTTCACACATGCGCATCCCAGTCCGTTCTCCTTTGCTGCCAGGTTACATCGATGTCATCCAAACTGTTCTCGGAAGAGTATTAGGTCATTAGATATGAAATGTCCGATTTCAAATCAAGTGTGTAGTTTATTATATCTCAAACAGGAAGCAGTACAATTAATCAAAGTATGCACCTGAACTATAAACACAGTTTTACCATCTTAATGGTAGCTTGTTCATGCCAGCAACAAAGAAGCCTGGAGAGTGAGTGGAGATGAAATCATGAAAGGTGTTTTCCACAGCTTGTGGAAAATTGAATATTTTTCCTTGAAAGAAGTAGTCCAAAGGCCTAGAAGGAGTAGTATTCAGTTGGTGCAAGGTCTGGTGAATACAGTTGATGAAGAGAGCTTCCAAGTCCAGCTTCTGTAGTTTGAGCATGCTTGTTTTTTTGTGACATGTGGTCTTGCAAGAGGATTGGCCTATCTCTGTTGACCAATCTTGGTGGCTTCAGTGCAAACATGCTCATCATTTTGTCCAGTTGGTTGCTGTAGAGATCCGCTGTGATAGACTGACCAGGTTTCATGAATCTGTGGTGGATAATACTGGTGCTGGACCACCAAACAGACACCATTAGCTTTTTATAATGAATATTTGGTTTTGGACTGTGTTTCAGCACTTCACCGTTATCCAGCCATTGTGTCAAATACTTGCCATTGTCAAAAGAATCCATTTTTCATCACAGGTAACAATACAGTGTGGAAATGTTTTGCCTTTATGTCATGAGAGCAAAGACGAGCAAGCTTCAGGATGATTTCTCTTCTGACACTCATTTAATTCATGCGGAACCCATCTATCCACGTTCCTTCCCTTGCCCACTTGTTTCAAATGGTGCAGTATTGCTGGAATGGGAACATCAGACCTTGCTGCTAATTCACACATAAGTTGAGATGGATTTGCTTCCACTATAGCTTTCGGCTCATTGTTATCCACTTTGGTATCAGGTCGCTCACATGGCTCATTTTCAAGATTAAAATCACCAGAATGAAACTTCTCAAACCAACTACGCACTGTGCATTCATTACCCTCATCCTTCCCAAATACTTCGTTGATATTTTGAGCTGTCTGCACTGCATTGGTTCCACAATGGAACTCATATTCGAAAATAACACTAATTTTTTACTTATCCATGGTTTCACAAAAATTGCTCTAAAAATAAAGTTGCAAGATAATCACAAGCTAAAACGTGCATTTACAAGACTGAGGATGTACCTTCACAATAAAAATAAAACATGAAGTGTCACATTGAAATGCAAGAGAAATCAACTGTCAAATTTAGTACTTAAGGAAATTGGACATTTTATACTTAATAACCTAATAACACTGACTGGATACTTTCTGGAGAGACCTCGTATATATGTCAGCTGGTATAATTGTACATACTAAACACCAACATTTTTTTCCTATATTACTTGCTATTTAAAAGGGTTAAAATGCTACTTCAGTGATTTTTCAGTTAAGGACTTTTTAGTCTTGTCAGGAAAGTAGAGGTTATCAGCTTTAGGCTGGAGGTCAGAAATGGGCATAAAGTTTTAGTCAAAAAAATTTGAATAAGCTTTAGAGATCTGCTGCATTACAGCTACAGTCAATACATAATACTCTGCTTGCACTTAAAAATTAAGAGGCTAGATCTTACGTTGTGTTCTTACCACAATAAAATAAAATAAAATGTCAATTAAGAAAAGATAGAGTTACTTCATAGGGAATAACAAAGTGTCCACAGTATATAAATACACTGTGGGTATTTATAAATATATGTTGAGAACTCTGCCAGAATCTAAAACTAGATCTGGGCGATTACCTATATATCTATTTGTTTAAAATTCATTCATTCATTTATTTATTATTCAGCATTCACAAGGCTAACAAAAATATGCATAAATTAATTTGGCAATGATTTACTGCTTTTAACCATGTTTTCTTAGTAGAAAATTGATTGGCATTGAGAATTGAAGACAACTGAACACATTCAAAACCCATAGGAAAATATGGGATGAGATTCAGCCCTTTTATAGTCATGCTGAACTCACTATATTACAAATCCAAAAATCAACTTCTATTTTGTCTTGTATAAAATGGGAGTTAAATTTCATCTTATATCTTTAATGAAGTATTGGAGTGCTGTATGAGATTTTATTTTTGTAAGTATTTTAGATCTTTGTTACAGCTAGTTGTCTAATAATAATAATATTGCCATAGGACCAATAATAATTTTAATCTCCAGCTATCACAATATAATACACTCACATTTATATTTATATTTATGTATCTTATTTTTTAGTTTAGCTCAAGCAGTTGTTATAATTTTTAATAGTGGAAAATTTTTATCACAAACACTTTCTGTATATTAATGTGTGTGTGTGTATTTTACCATGGCCCTGTAGATTTTGCTCAACTGGTTGTAATAGTTGTGATTTTGGTTAATATCTCTATTTCTATGCTTATCTTTAGAACTGCAAAATTTCAGTCACATCATTCACTCTCCCACTTTTCAGTTCTTGTGCTGACAGCAACCCCCTCAAGAATCAGAGGGCAGAGGCAGTTCACCCACTCCCAGGACCAGTTATGCCTCCTTGCTTCATTGCTTAGTGCGTGCCACTAAAGTACAGAGAATCCACATTCTAGGAGGGATGGTGTTCATCAAAACTCACAAAATTTAAACTAATTTTCTATAGATATTTATAGTTTAACATGACCTGGTTGAGTTTAGCAGGGGAAAAAAAGCAGCAAAAATATGCCTATATTATTTAGGCACAATGATTTCTTTTTTTAAATAAGAAAATAACATGAGCTCAGCTAACTTTTGCAGCTATATCTAACCTATGGAATCTCTTGCTTTATAAGATTTCCTCATAACTGTAACAGACTAGCAGTGTATCAAATGATTTGCATTTAAACGTGATAATAAGGAAAAAGAGATTCTTTAAAATATAAAGCTCAGATCAAGAATAAATTGCATATGCAAATGTGCTGATTTGGATGCAGAGGATGAATTCTAACGGCAGGCAACTAAAGAAATTAAGGCTAACGCTTTTCCTGAGTGCCCAGCAATGTTGAATTACAGTTGAGTTTCTATAGAAATGAGTGTGGCATCCAGTAGTTACCAAAGGAATATATTATGCTCTGTGATGTCTCACTGAATTCCAAACGCATTCGGAATGACGGCACACCGAGAGGTGCTGCAGTACTTCAGACGTACACGGTCAAATGTGTGTGGTTAAATAAAACTCTGTGGAATGTTCCTTGCATGAAATGAGTTTTTCCTTTTCAGAAGGAATGTGGAGCAATTTATTTTTTCCGTACACGGTCTCATCACAAGTAGAAGTTTACTTTAATAAATTTGCTTTGGTTTGCAGGGACACTCTTGCAATTTGAAAGGTACTTTGCAATGCCTTGGAACCCTGATGAACTAAACTTGTAATCTTGCCTTTATCGTGCCCTGTAGCTACAGTCTCTGTTTAATATGAAGAGAAGTAGTGATCTGCGCGTGTGGGCTAATGGCGGCACTCTATGCTGCCAGTAGGTTTTCTAGGGAGCTGAAGAATTGGGACATTCTGATTATTCAAATGTTTGGGTTAATATTTTTTTCCATATTTATATAAGAAATATTAAATAGTGTGGAAGTATATTATAATATAAATATACTTATGTTCAAAGGTCCTCCTCCTTTTAGAAAAGAATATATTCATGTTCATAGAACAAACTTTGAAGAGTTAACTCAAAGAGGGGCCCCTCCGAGGATAATTTTCCTGGGATGAGACCTGTCCTCTGGCAGCAGTTTGGAGGAGCAGACGCCTGGGCCGGGCCTCCTGGCGCGGCCACACTCACCCCAGCAACCGTGAAAGCATGAGACAGGCCACGTCAGAGGAGAAAGCAGAAAGGAGCCTGAAATGGAAGTGAATTCTTGGGGCCAGTGGAGAGAAAGAGAAGGAAAAATTTAAGAAGCAGGAAAGGGCTTTTAAGTCCCTCTCATGTCTTCCCATACTTTCATTAAGAAATGAAATTCAGTAAATTCAAAAATATTAAAAATTCTGCTTCTGCCAGTTACTTGCTCTGAGGCTTTGGTGACATCTCATCACCCCTCTAAACTTCAGTTTTTCAAGCTGTAAAATGGGGTTAAACTTAGGTTGTTGGGCAATTGAAGGTTCAGCTAAACCATTTATGAAGCAGGTGGTTCAAAAATGACTGAAGCAACTGATGGTTGTTGCCACTGTTGCTCGGCTGGGCCTCCCAGGCCGGCGCTGCAGGCCACAGCTGCTCAGACGTAGCCACAGACAGACCCCCACCCCAGGATCTTCTGTCACCCCATGTTGTCCGAATCCAAAACTCACCCCCATCTACCAGTCCACTGACGCTCTTTCCGTTTGTCTGGCAACCAAGTGCTTTGCTCAGGGGCTTTGCCTGGCTGCTCTCTTGAGTCCTTCTCGTGCCCTTAACCGTCTCCCTCTCATTTAGGCCTTCTCTGAGTAAATGATCTAACTATAAAATTATAAAAATATTGTCTGTTAAGTCACCAGATTTTAATTGTCTTCTAGCAATTATCACATCTCAGATTTTCTTGTTTGATTAGCTGTTTTTCCTTTCACTAGGATGTAAGCCCTATGAAAACAGGTTAATCTCATTCACTTCTCTGTTCTTTCTACACACCCTGGGGACTGGACATACTGGGTACTCGGCAAGTGTTTGTTGCATGAGTAAATTTCTAGTGTACACTGGCTGTGGGGTTGCATTTCATTGTCTAAGTGCGTAGAAGGTTCTCTCCTCTGTGCAGCCGGTGGTCCCTTCCCCACTGAGACGGGGGTTTTCAGATTTCTTCAGGATATTCTGAGCACATTTTTCTCCCAGTTGAGAGTTAAGTGCTGACACTCTTCTCTTTTCTCTCCTCCTCTTCCTCCTCTTTCTCCTTCTCTTCCTTCTTTTTCATTTTTGTTTGTTTGTTTTGTTTTCTTGGTGACCATGGCCAGATTTACTTTATTATATCAAAAGACTCAATTTAAGTTTCCTTCACTCAGTGTTAGTGTCAAGTATGGGCAGCTTGGGATTGCAGTCAACAAGGACAAAAATTTAAAAATACAATGCTTGTGACTTCAGGTTTTTGCTAAGGCCTCTTAGCAAAAGTGTTGAACTATAAATTGCTTCATTTTCACTGAAAAAAACCAGCATCATGTAATAAAAAGAGAAAAATAATTTTCATCAGATCTTCAATAACATTTCACTGTCTTAAGGGATACATGAAAGCTGCCCAGATCAACCACTGGGCCTTTCACCAGCGACTGTCCCCTGAGAGTGGCAGTGGAACCTGCTGAAACTCTGACGCCGAATGAGGAAACTGTCTATCTGGAATACACATTTTATTCCCTGAATTAATTTTATTTTCTAAACTTCAACCCTTTGACTTCTAAGAACATGTGATTCAGATAATCTCGTATTACTAAGTCCTTATACTGAACATAAATTAGGAAGTGTCCAATATTTGCTAATGAGAAAAAGCAATCTCCTCACTCTTCCCCTTTCATAAAGTTGAAGAGGGGCCGTATGAGTAGTCTGCTCCGGGGTCCTTCTTGCTCTCTGCAAACCACTCTCAGCCTCCACCCCATCCTCAGGGGTTAACCTCCCAGTGTGTGAGACTGTTACTCTTCTTGCCTGTGCTCTTTCTCCCTCTTGACATCAAAATCCTTTCCTTCGGATGTGCTTCTTCTGCTGCGGAGTGTGTAGATGTGAATTATGAGACTGAAGCATTTCAGCCACAATCTTTCCTCACCTTTTTTTTTTTTTTTTGAGACAGAGTCTCACTTTGTTGTCCAGGCTAGAGTGAGTGCCGTGGCGTCAGCCTAGCTCACAGCAACCTCCAACTCCTGGGCTCAGCGATCCTCCTGCCTCAGCCTCCCGAGTAGCTGGGACTACAGGCATGCGCCGCTATGCCCGGCTAATTTTTTGTATATATACTTTTAGTTGGCCAATTAATTTATTTCCATTTTTGGTAGAGACAGGGTCTCGCTCAGGCTGGTTTCGAACTCCTGACCTTGAGCAATCCGCCCGCCTCGGCCTCCCAGAGTGCTAGGATTACAGGTGTGAGCCACGGCGCCCGGCCTTTTTTTTTTTTTTTTTTTAATAATTCTGATGCTGACAGTTGAACTTCTCAGAATCAGCAAGCAGGGATGTTCTACTATCTTCCAGAACCATTTTCTGACCCTCCCTTGCATGGCTGTTCCGCCCCCATCACTCCAGCAGAGGCCACGTTTGGTGTGAAGCGTGGCATTCCTCCAGACTCACCTGCCAAAGGGAAAATCACGCTGAGCAAGACGAGCAGAAAGACGTGGATTTTATGCCGCCGCTCTTGCCCACGCCCAGGGCGAGAGCACAGCCGGAGTCCGCATACTCAGAGCCACCGAAACAAAGGGGCCGGCTGCAGGCGCTGGGGCGGAGGGACACACGCCATCTGCGGCCGCAAATCGGCCTTCCCAAACGGAAAAGAAGGTTTCTCCTGTCTTTGTGTTAGGAGGCAGCTTTACAGCTCAGCAAGGCGCCACGCCAGTTAGGCTTCCGGCCTCCCACAGAGACTGGGGGGTAACGGTGCTGCTTTCTTTAATGATTACATTTCAAAAGGGTGGCTCCCGGGTCCTTGAGAAAGAAGTTCCTGGGTTGTAAAACTGACTAGAGCAGGCGTCCTCAAACTACGGCCCTTGGGCCACATGCGGCCGCCCCGGACATTTATCCTGCCGCAGGGTGCTTCTGTCCTGCTTAGCAGCAGACTGACTGTCCGGGCCCACAGTGCGCATGTGTGGAATGTGCGCACTCCCTAACGGCCTCCCACGGTCTGAGGGACAGTGTACCGGCCCCTGTTTAAAAAGTTTGAGGACCCCTGGACTAGAGGCTTCTAAAAACGTTAACTTCTCAAAGAGGCCAAGAAAGCAAGCATTTACAATTACAAGTGTTTTCAAGTAAATGCTCTAAGAAAAGGGAGGTCAAGGTCCCAAATCCTAAAGTCAAGTGTTTTGGCCTCTTGGTCCCCAAACGTAACACTGGTTTCCCTTAGGACCAACCAAACCTCAGGACACTTATAATGAGAGGTTCATCTTGAAGCACGTTGCCTGCACTGTGCTTGCATTTCCCCCATTTTCCTTGCTGACTTGGGAGGATGTTGGCTAGCTCAAAGGTGCGCCTGGGCTAATGATGTATTTATATTCTTATTTTATTTCTAAAATATCACAGAATACACTTTACCTAATTGACAGCACTCTGACAAACATCACAGTGTTTTTTCATATTAATTTGCATTTCAAAGCTATGAATTTGTGAACTGAAATAAAATTTTGAGGCTCACGTCCCCCCCACCCCCCACCACCAGCTGACTGAATGGATCCCTCATGGCCAAAGGAATATCCTAAAACTAAATTATCTGCCAGGAGGAGGGAGGTCAGAAATGCCTCATCATGCCCTGCTCCCTTCTTGGAGACATCTTTTCTAACACATTAACAGGCCGAAGGGTGTGCAAGACAAACCTGCAGGCCCTCAATTTACACAACAAATCTTCTCTGGTGGCTTATCTCTGATAACAGCTCCTATGTTAAAACATTCCAAGCCTTTAGACAAAGCTTCATGTCTTTAACCAATTACAAGACAAAGAATCATTAAACCCACCGATAACCTGTAAGTCCCCGCTTCAAGATGGCCCACCTTTTTGGGCCAAGCCAATGTGTGTCGCCCACGTATTGATTTATGACTTTACCTGTAACCCCTGTCTCCCTGAAATGTATAAAACCAAACTGTACCCTAACCACATAGAGTCCACTTGCTCAAGACCTCTTGTGAGTGGCTCTGGGCCATGGTCCTCAAATTTGGCTTAGAACAAACTTTTTTCAAATATTTCAGAGTTTGGATTTTTTCCATCCACAATTTTAAGCATTTTTCCAGCACTATCTCTACCACCTGAGGCATGATTGCAAGATATCAGAATTTTTAAAAATGATTTATGTTCTTATGCTACAATACTAGCACAGTGGTAACCAAAATCATCTGTACACATTTCCGTGTGTATAAACAAGAGTTTGGGTCACAAGATCCTGTAAAAGTTTAGAAGTGGACATTACCGTTTACCAGCGAAAGTACTGCTTCTGTGATAGGCCTACACTTAAGCAGACTTCATAATTCATCCGGCCTCTCAAATCTGCAATTTTTTCATTATTAAGTGAAACATAAAATTATTTAAGGTTTCTATTATTTCAAACTTTCTCATGAAATGTGTTAATAATATTAATCTATAGCAATTTGTGGGCCTGCATTTTAATTTGCAAATTGTAACTTAGCAATGGCTACAATCTTAGCCAAGTACATTTCAAAGAGCAGAAAATATAATTGCTTAGGGTCAAGTACACAAATGCTGGAGAATGTGTTCTCACAGTGGTTTACAGCATTTTACCTTAGCTGTCTTTGCCAGCATCAATGTGCTAATGATGATAGTATCTGCGCATTAGTTGGTGGACGTTATTGTTTTCACCTACCAAATGTGCAATAAAGAAGTTCATCTTTTAGATGGCTATTGAATCTTTTCTTTAATGTTCAGTTATTACCAAGTTTGTGGTCACTATTTTGTTTTCTATAGTATTTTTATTAAATTATTGAATTACAGTTATGAAGTATGATGTTACATTCTAATATTTAATGAATGACGCATGATTCTTGTGTTGTTTAATTGATTGGTCAAGCATCCTCAGCACACGAGGTTGTGGTTGATATTGCCCTTTTCTACAATAGCAGCGACTTCAAAGAATGGAGCCATGAACTTCATAAACTTTTATAAAGAAAATGAACAGTGTCTACTCTGGACCAAGTTTGGTGATAAAATTAGTAGTGCTCTGAACTTATGACAACTCTATGGAACAGTGGTTTGGTCAATAACAAACATATTGTTTTATACTTTTAATTTCAATTAAAATTTATGAAAATTATGAAGTGTATTGGCATTTAGTTTATTTCTAAGATGAGTAGCAACAAAAAAATGTGACAGAGAAAGTATTACCAACTTGTTTAATGTTCAGAAAGTTTAGATCATAGTGAAGATTTAATCTAAGCAGCCAAATTTCTCGTCATTTGAAGTAGCTTTATTCTTTGTTCCTTATTGTTCTTTATTCTTTATTCCTTTTACAATAAGGTTATCATTTAAACATAAAGTTTCTTCCTATCTATAGAATTTGCAGAAACTAGGGTTAAGGTCAGGGTTAGGGTTACCTATGGATGCTGGCACCTGTATTTTGTTTCAAGCTTTACTCTTTCATGCAGGAGATATGAATTAGTCACATACAATGGGTTTCTCAAGTTGAGGTTTGAAGGGCCTCTCCACCTCTTCCACACCTCTCCCCTTCCACTCTCTGTGTTCCAGAAATATTCTGAAAAGGACTCTGACTCTTTAAGAACAAATTTTAATGTTTTAAAATTTTATTTACATAAATACCTAAAAACAGCAAAGTATGTTCTGAATTATCTGAATGATCGTGTTGTAACTGAAGCTTATTAGTTGTTTTATTATTCTTTATTTTGGACAAAATACTGAATGTAAAATTTGTCATCTTAAACATTTTTAGGAATACTGTATGGTGCCATTAACTGCATGCACGTTATTGTGCAGCAGACCTCTTGAACGTCTTCATCTTGAAAAACTGAAATTCTGTATCCACTGAACAGCTCCTGTGATGGTCGATCTGGGCATCACCTTGCCTGCATGGAGGGACGCTCGGACCGTCGGTATGCCATTAGTTGATTAGTGACTCTCCATGCTTGGAAGGGCACCGACCCATCCCTCTTCTGCTGAAGGGAAACCAAGGTGATTTGGGGTTTGATTAGCATGATTCAGGTGTCACCGTGAGGTGTTTCTGGGCGAGATTGGAATTTGTGTCGTGGACTGAGGAAGGCCTGTCCTCCCGTGGGCAGCTGTCTCCACTTGGCGGGGGCCAGGATGGAACTCAAAGGGTGAGGAGGGAAAATTGTTGTCTTTCTTCCAGAGCCAGAACGCACTCCTCCTGCTCTTGGATTGCAGAACTCCTGACTCTCTGGGCTTTGGACCCGGGACTCACGAGTGGCAGCCCCAGGCTCTCAGGCCTTCGGCCTCAGGCCGAGCCACACCGCGGCTTCTCCCGTCCCAAGGCCTTCGGACTCGGCTGAGCCTCTACTGTCTGTCCTGGTGGCCAGCGTGAAGACAGCCCGTCCTGGGATCTCGCTGTCTCCTTAAGTCAGTGAGCCAAGTCCCCTAATAAGTCCTTTCTCTTCCCCTCTCTCCCCATGTCCTGCTGGTTCTGTCTCTCTGGAGAACCCTGACTAAAACATCCCCGTTTCCTCCTTCTGCCGGCACCGCCCTGGCGACCACCATTCGGCTTTCTGTTTTTGAGAGTTTGACTATTTCAGACACTTCATATGAGTGCAATCATGAAATACAGTCACACGTCACATAACGACGTTTTGGGAAACAGTGGACTGCACGTATGCACAGCCATGGCCCCAAGAGATTACAACCCCTGTTGCCCAGTGATGTTGCAGCCATTGTGAGGTTGAAGCACAGCGCGTCACCCACGCGTTCACGGTGGCGCTGGCGCAAATACCCCTGCAGGCTGCCAGTCATAGAAGTGTAGCACGCAGTTATAGACAGCATATGACTCTTGACAATGTTAGATATTTTACTGGTTTATGTATTTACTACACTATACTTTTTATTATTTGAGAGTGTACACTTTCCACTTATATTAAAAAAAAAGTTAGCTGTGAGACAGCCTCAGGCAGGGGCTTCAGGAGGTGCCAGAAGGCGGCACTGTTGTCACAGGGATGGCAGCCCCTGCGACCTTCGAGGGAAACAAGACGTGAGGCTGAATGACGGGATGTTGACGATCTTGACCCTGCGTAGGTCTTGCCTAATGCATGTGTTTGTGTCTTAGTTTGAAAAATGTTTAAAAAGTAAAAATAAATTGTAAAAATAGGAAAAAAGCTTATAGAATAAGGATGTACAGAAAGGCAATATTTCTGTACAGTTGTACAATATATTTGTGACTTAAGCTAAGTGTTATTACAAAAGAGTGAAAGAGTTAAAAAAAATTTAAAAAGTTTATAAAGTAAAAAAGTTACAGTAAGCTAAGGTTAATTTATTATTAAAGAAAAAATGACTTTTAAAACAAATTTAGTGTAGACTCCGTGTACAGAGTGCTTATAACGTCTGCAGTAACACACAGTCATGTCCTAGGCCTGCACGTGCGCTCACTGCTCACTCACCGACTCCCCAGAGCGACTTCCAGTCTTGCAAGCTCATTCACGGTAAGAGTCCTATATGGGTATACCATTGTTAATCTTCATTTTAAAATTTTTATTTCACGATATTAAGGGGACAAATGTATTTGTTACATGGGTACCTTGTATAATGCTTAAGTCAAGGATTTTGGTGTATTTGTCACCAGAATAGTGTTCATTGTACCCAATAGGTAAGAATGTATTCCGAGTCTCCTCTCCCACTCTCCACCTGTCTTGGTTTTTAATGTCCTTTACATCTCTTTGTGACCATGTATATCTATAGTTTAGCTCCAACTTATTACCGAGAACATATGGTGTTTGGCTTTCCATTCCTGAGATACTGCCTTAGGATAATGGTCTCCAGTTCTATCCAAGTTGCTGCAAACAACATTATTTCATTCCTTTTTATGTCTGAGTAGTACTCCATGATGTGTGTGTATATATATGTGTGTGTGTGTATACACCATATTTTCTTTATCCACTCAGGAATTGATGGATACTTAGGTTGGTTCCACATGATTGCAATTGTGAATCGTGCTGCGATAAACATTCGAGTGCAGGTGTCTTTTTTTTTTTTTTTTTTTTTTGAGACAGAGTCTCGCTTTGTTGTCCAGGCTAGAGTGAGTGCCGTGGCGTCAGCCTAGCTCACAGCAACCTCAGACTCCTGGGCTTGAGTGATCCTTCTGCCTCAGCCTCCCGAGTAGCTGGGACTACAGGCATGCGCCACCATGCCCGGCTAATTTTTTATATATATATCAGTTGGCCAATTAATTTCTTTCTATTTATAGTAGAGACGGGGTCTCGCTCTTGCTCAGGCTGGTTTTGAACTCCTGACCTTGAGCAATCCGCCCGCCTCGGCCTCCCAAGAGCTAGGATTACAGGCGTGAGCCACAGCGCCCGGCCCAGGTGTCTTTTTTATAAAATGATGTCTTTTCCTTTGGGTAAATACAGAGAAGTGGAATTACTGGGTCAAATGGTAGGTGTACTTTTATTTCTTTGAGGAATCTACATACTGTTTTCCATAGAGGTTGTATTAATTTGCAGCCCCACAAACAGTGTATAACTGTTCCTCTCTTTCAGCGTCAACATCAGCATCTATTGTTTTGGGACTTTTTAGTAATGGTCGTTCTAACAGGAGTAAGGTGGTATCTCATGGCAGTTTTAATTTGAATTTCTCTGATGATTAGTGATGTTGAACATTTTTTCATATGTTTGTTGGCCATTTGTCTATTTTTCTTTGAAACTTCTGTTCCTGTCATTTGCCCACTTTTTGATAGGGTTATTTATTTTTTTATTTATGATATTTTATTTTTTTAATTTATAATATATGTACATATTTTTTATTTATTTTATTTTTTGTTTGTACATTCTCTATATCAGTCCTTTGTCAGATGTATAGTTTGTGAATATTTTTCTCTCATTGTGTAGGTTGTCTATTTACTCTGTTAATTATTTCTTTTGCTGTGCAGAAGCTTTTTAATTTAATCAAGTCTGATTGATTTATTTTTGTTGTTGCTGTATTTGCCTTGAGAAGAATAGGTATTTTGCTGTTGTTGGGTATAGTATTCTGCACTTTATGATATCAATGTCATGAATGGCATTTTTAATATTTTGTATCCATTAACATAGTTTTATAGCTATAATTATTTTTATGACTTTGTTTTATAAATTATATATCTGAATTAAAATTAATTTATATACCACCATTACAGTATTACAGATTCTGTATTTATCTCTATATCTGTATCTATATTTATCTATATCTATATCTATGCCTATATAAAATCTATATCTTTGTCTGCTCCATCAGTGCTCCAAGTCAGGCAAGACAGAAACCAGTTCTTTGGAGAGGTCCCTGAAGAGCCAGAATATTGGACACACATTACAATATTCTCTTCCTCTCCAAAGGGAGAAACCATGAGCTGGGCACTTTCTCCCAATGACAGTGAGCTGTGTTGGTTTCTGTCTGCGGTGTGACAAGGTGTCTACTTCTGCCACAAGCCACTGGACTCTCTTCGGTTCTCAGTGGCTCCCTGGCCTCCAATGTATATGAATTCCCATCAGTGCATTGAGTTAGGCAAGACAGAAACCAACTCTTGGGTAGCTTCCTGAAAAGCCAGAATGTTAGATGTTGGGTATGCATTTTATTCTTCTCTTTTTCTCCCTAGAGAAAAAGTATAAATAGAGCTTCTCTCCCACCCAATCACGACTGTGCTGGCTTGAGGGACAGGCTGATGCAGTTGAAATTAAATGGCTTTCCTTACCTGCTTCACTGTGATTGGTCTTGAGGTGTTACAACTCTCTGGTTGGTTTCTGAAGTTCTCATAAAGGTTTTTTAGACTGTGTATTGTTGTTAAGTCATCATTTCTTTGGGGCAATGAGGTCTAAGGTTTCCCATTCTGCCATCTCGTTGATGGCACCTCTCCATATGTATTTTTGTACTTAAAATCAAATTGGTTACAAGTAGTAAGGTTTATAATTCCTTATCTGAAATCTGTGGGGCCAAATGCTTTTCAGACTTTTAGAATTTAGAAAAATAAGGCAGTGCATATGCTGAAAAGTATATAATTTCCCCAGGGAAGGTGGGGTAGAACCCTGAAATAAATTTAAATCAATTGAAATCAAATTTAATTTCTACAATGATATATGTACATATTCAAGTGGAAGATAAAGACTGTAAATATCCTCTTGTTAGATCATGTCAGGCTTATTTTTAATGGAAATTATTTGGTTTTCAAATCACTTTGAGGGTGAAGAGTGAGGGTAGGTAACTGTGAACCAGTGGTACTTTATTTTCATTGGCAAATAAGACAATAGTAGAGTACCCTTAATATATAAATGACATGTACATCCAGTGGTGGTGGTGGTGATTCAGTGTGTGTGTTGTTTATTGATTTATTGCCTCTAAGCTAAAACTTCACCCGTTTTGGCTGATTGGTGAAAATAGACTTGAGGCCTTTAAATATTTTGCTCTTGACGGCTGGCTCTAAGGCTTCGCCAGGAAAGGGTGTGCAGCTCCTGCAGCGCCTGGAGCATTCAGCAGGGCCGCCAGGGGCCGGCGGCTTTCCCTCAGGGCTGTCTTGGGAGGTCTTGTGGCAGAGCCTCTCTGGTGAGACAGCTTCCTGTGAGTAGGCTCGCCCGGCACCACACAGAACAGGTTTCTGTCAAGTCCCACTGGTGGTACTACAGTGATTTCTTTGTCATGACATGAGCCACAACTGCAGGTTCTAGATGTCGTCTCGGGATCTCTTCCTTAAGCGCTCTGTCTCAGTGATGGAGGTCATGGTGGCACCTTAGGGCTGTGATTTGGATTCTTTAAGTTCTCCTTACTTCTGACTAGCCAATATTTTGTTGCTCAAATTCCATGCTATATATAGTTAATAATTCTTTACAATAAATGCCCCCTGTCTAAATTGTGTGGTTTCTCTCTCCTGATTAGACCCTGACAGACACAGTGGGCTCTTCACACAGGTGTTCAGCAAGTGGAAAAATGGGAGTCATCTATGGCACATATTAAAAAATGGGAGTCATCTATGGCACATATTAAAAAATGGGAGTCATCTATGGCACATATTATTATAAAATCAGAAGAAATAATACTGTCTCTGCCAAAAGCACATTTACTTCTGAATTGTGATTTGGCAACAACAGAATGACATTTTCTATCATGATAAATTAGTATTGTTCATTCAATGTATCTTATTTGTGTATAACTTAAATGTTTTGATTTAGTATTATGTGAATTATAAAACCCAGCCATTTATTTTATTACTCATTCAGGTAATATTAAAATGAAGCAATTTATCATAGTGTGGTTGTGTTTCCATATTTTTCCTTTTAAAAGAGATTCATACCTGTTATGAGTTGTATTCTGTACCCATCCAAATTAGTAGGTTGAAGTTCTAGGCCCCAGTGCTTCAGAATGTGACCTCATTTGGAAATAGGATTGTTGCAGATTTAATTAGTTAAGATAAGGTTTTAATGAAGAGAGGGTAGGAGGCCCTAATCCAGTGTGACTTGTGTCCTTGTCAAAGGGAGGGATTTGGCCCCGGGTGCATACAGTGGGGCCAGCATGCCTGGAACAGACCCTTTCCTCAGAGCCCTCCGAAGAAACCATCCCTGGCAAAATCTTGAGTTCAGACTTCTGGCCTCTAAAACAGTGAGATAATAGATATCTGTTGTTTAAGCCACCCAATTTGTGGTACTTTGTTTACAGTAGCCCTAGGAAACTAATACAATATCTGACCAAAGTTATGAAAAATATATAGCTTTATTCTTCTCTGCAAATTGGCTTATATTCTTAAAGTTTTTTAACACAATTAATTGCTTAGTAAAAAAAAATTTAAATATATCTATTTTTAAAACTTTATTTCCTTTCCTAATTGTTCCACAGGTTTACTTATAATATTATTATTTATTCAACTAACTAGAGCTTGAAAGTATCTGATTTCAAATAGTATTTTTGATGTCCCTACTATTTCTGTCTACATTTCTCATTTTACATGTTTATGTAATTTTAGAGAGTCAAAAACCTTAGGGCAAAATTGACCATACTAAAGAAAACTGTCAAGGTGTAATATGTATGAATATGATACATAACTAGATTGTAATGGCATTAGTATCAAAAGAATGTAAAGTAAAATACATTGCATTCTTTATAATCATGACTGGTATACTACTTACATGATATATCTTTCTCTTTTTTTGCCTCTTCTTTTTTTCATTCTGCCTACTGTCAAGGCATAGATGCTGATTTTTTTTTTCTGTATTTCTCTCATGTACATATATTCTTCCTATCCCAATTCACATAAGTGTTTTCTTAAAAATGATAATTATTTAAATACATTTTAGCAAACTTCTTGCCTATCTTTTGTGTTCTTTGAATGAAAGACAAATGAAAGGAAGTGAAGAAATCAATAATACCACCAGAAAGAAGAAAATTAGCCTCTAGATTCAATAATATCCTATAAATCATATTTGTTTGTTTCTATGACTAATGAACACAGTATGGAAATTTTTCACACTTCAGCAGCAACCTGGATGCAAACCCATTTGCAGAAGGCCTTGAATAAGAATAAAATCCAGCATTCATTCATTTTAAATGCAAATAGTAGAATCTGAGTAGGATAAGAGTGTCAGAGTGGAAGGGCGTGTTTTCAGGCATTGCAGAAAGCTGTCATGGTGACTAGGAGGCATAGCAACTTGCTTATAAAAATAAATCTGAACGAGTGAGTCAGACACAGGTTCGTGATTTTACTCCTGTCAGTGTTAGATGGAGAATATATCCTGGAAAATCTTAGTTATCAGAATCCTCAGAAAGCATTAGAGGAAGAATGGGATAACAGAAAAACACAGTTTTACAAAGGTGGAGATATAAAATGTGTTTATCTGCAGGTTATTTGAGATTCCTACAACTGCTGATTTCTGGAATATTTTCTCAAGTAGAGGCAAGGAGTAATTTTTTAAGTGTGACATTAAAAAATGTATATCTAATGTGGTCTAATTTTTATTAAATCATGCATCTTGGGTTTTATAATCACAATTTTATGCTCATCTTTCCCCACAGGTATATTTTTCTCTGGCACTTCTCTTGACTATCATAAACTTAAATAAGTAGTAAAGGTGAGGCATATATTGAAATTCAGAGAAGAAAATTAATTGGAAATCAATCCTAAATAATATGGCATCATTCTGAAGGTAGACTATATGCTCTCTCAGCTTGGGTGTATTGGGGTAAAGTGTCACTGGGTTAGTTTGAGAAGCGTGGGGTGGAAACCCTGCTCCAGCAAAGAAGTCCCTGCATCCCCTGCTGTGAGTTCTGTAGGGGCCAGACCCCAAAGCCCTGGTCCTTGGCAATTAAGCTTAATTGGCTAGCTGGCCTTCTTTGGGGGATTGTGGAGGAGCCTAATTAGCAGCAAGCTTTTGATTTTCCACCAGGGCGTTCTTTCACTTCCTCCCAAATTTAGACTTTGAACTGGATGAAAGTTTAGAGGTGAATTTTTCCCCTAATGGTGTGAATTTTGATGTAGAATGATCAGGTAGGAGGCTACTCTCTCCACAATGAAAGCATTTGCTCTTGCTCTAAAACACCTGTGTGGTTTCTGCTGGGAATCTCATCTGGAGATTAGCAGGGGAGATTCATAAGAGTTGAGTCTGTGATAAGTGGTTTTGTGATTAATAGTTGTTTTCCCACCCAAACCCCACCCTCCTAGAGAATAGGGCTAAAGAAATAGGCAAGTTAACATTTTTAAGCAGCTAGTTACAGAACTCTAGTTGAATTTTGACCTATTTTTTAAAATTGAATGGTGTAGGGAACATGAAAAGATTACAAAAGCAAGGTGCTTTTAATAGCGTCAGCCATGTTTGGCACCACTCTTAGGGCTTGTGATCAACTTATTTATAGTTTGCAGCAAGTAAAAAGACATTTCCAGCTTCAGTGTGTTGTATTTTCTGGTTCTGGATTAGATATTACAAGAGTATTTGCAGCACGTCTACTGTGTATGAAGCGTTGTTACGCCGCTTTGCGAAAGGAAAGTCTCTACTCTGGGGGAGCTTATCACTTGGATGCAGAAAGAAGGTTGAAGAAATACAGTATTTTGGTGAACATTCTTACATTTACAAGATTATTCATATATATTTTATTTAATATCTGGAAGCAGAAGTTTTGTTCATTTTCAAGGCATTTCAACATTGCATTTAGTTTTTTTTTTATTTCGGCATATTATGGGGGTACAGATTTTAAGGCTTCAATGCATTTAGTTTTCTAAAATGAAATTTTGTTTTTTTACTCTATTGCTTAAACTTTTTCAAAGCTTGCTTCTTACCTGAGCACACAGAATTTTTGATGTTTTTTAGAAAGCTTTTTCTGAGCTTTCCATCTCTGCCCAGGATTTTGGTACAGCCTCCTTTGAGCCCTGCTCTTTTCTTTTAGTAGAAAATATTTATTGGGTTTGTTTAATTTTTGTTGCTAACCTGTACTTGCCAATGAGGCAGATACCCTATCTATCCTATTCATCTTTCATCTCTAGAAATTAGCTCATCGCATGCCTCCTAACCAGTATTCAACAGGATTTCTGGAATGTGTGAGTATCAACACTGCTAACTGGTGGCACCTCAGTAGACACGAAGCAAAGCCAAGAGGAGTTCTATTTCTCTTTCTGTGTGGATACCTGCAGTCTAAGCTTGGGGAGAGGAGTGGTAGAATTTCTACAGACACTAGTATGTCTCCACATTTACATTCAGTTAGAGTAATGAGGAAACCAGTGAATGCTAAGACTAAACCATGTCACTCAAATGTGGAGCTGGCGGAACATTGAAGTTTCCTAAATTCATAGTAATCTCTCCTTTCATTTTCCTCTGATACTTTGTCATACCGTATCACCCTGTCTCATAGGTTTTTGGGATCACTTTAAGCTTTAACTTTTTCCTCAGATTCCTTTTGAGTTCCTTCCTTTTTCAAACACACACACACACACACACACACACACACACACACACACACACACACACACACTTTCTCTCTGAAAGTCCCCTTTGCCTTACCCTATCTGATATGCATACTCACAGGGACTTCTATCATTCCATTCTTGTAAATAATTTCCCTATAAATGTGGTTAGTGACAGTAAGATATTATTTAACCCACTCAAAGAAATCCCTACTTCTTGTTCACTTTTCCATCAAAGTTATGAAACAACCCAACAGTTAGTTTGCTAGATTAATTATTTGCTAGATTAATTAATGGTTGAAAGGATCATTTAGATGAATGAATAAACGCATGGATGGGTGGGTGGATGGCTGTATACATGTATGGATTGGAGCAGTGACTGCCTTTTTCTATTATTTTGTCAACTTGGATTATTTTTATGTTCCAGCAATAGATTAGGCACATGAAAGTAAAACTTCTACAGAAAGGAAACAATAGCAAAATAATAAGCAAAATAAAATACATAAAAACACTATTGTAAGTACTCAGATGCTCATTATTAGATATTTATATTATGCTACATAATCAATTTTCTTAATTTCATATTTTGTGGATATTTTTGTTAGAGTTGGAATACAGATAGCACAATTTAAAAAATGAGAACACCAACAAGAAACAGTAATTTTAATGCATTGTTTTGATATGGTTTTCCTTAAAACATCTTACTATAATATATTCAGTGTGTGCATAATTATTTCCACGTACCTGATGAATTAGTGGATTGATAAGGTCTTGTCCTTGGTGAAAAATGTATTTAATAATTTTTTAAATTTGTATAATACAAGAATTTTATATTATCCTTAATATAGACAAACTGATTTGTACAAACAGAAACGAAAGGATTGCTTTGATGTCCTACTTCATACAGCTCTCAGGAATACAGCAATGCAATTCAGGAAGCTAGCTTTCAAGTGGACAAACTTGTTCAATCAGAGTGTTGCATGGCTACAGTATGGAGCCACAAGTGGTATGACACAACTAAAACTTTGTATGGCAAATTTAGAATTAAAATGATGTC